TATTTTTTAAAAGTATTGTGATGATAATGAATATGTAACTTCCTACTCTGATTTTCCCACTTAATACTTTTTTTGCATTACCATCTTGTCTTTTTTAAAATGATATATTAGGCTCAGCACCTGTGGCTCAAGTGGCTAAGGCACCAGTCACATACACCTAAGGTGGCGGGTTAGAATCCAGCCTGGGCCCGCCAAACAACAATGATGGCTGTAACCAAAAAAAAAAAAAAAAAAATAGGCCGGCATTGTGGCAGGCGCCTATGGTCCCAGCTACTTGGGAGGCGGAGGCAGGAGACTCACTTGAGCCCAGGAGTTGGAGGTTGCTGTGAGCTGTGATGTCACAGCACTCTATCCAGGGGAATAGCTTGAGGCTCTGTCTCAAAAAAAAAAAAGGATTTATTACATATTGTATCAAGTGAACATACCATAGTAAGTTTAACCTTATTTTGTAATTTGAGAAAATTTAATCAACATGTTATGGTGGATAATATTCTCTACATTAAGGGAAAAGGTTAGCTTTAAAACTTTCAGAAAGATGGCTAGGTGCCCATAGCTCTGTGGTTAGGGCACTGGCCACATGCACCAAGGGTAGTGGGTTCGAACACGACCCAGGCCTGTTAAAACAGAAAAAAGAAAAAAAAAAAGGAAAACTTTCAGGAAGAGAAGTTGTTCATATGCTAGAAACAGGTGAAATAATAAATATTCTTCCAAACAGTCATACCAGGATTATTGTTTTATTGGAATATGGCTAATAAAGAGCTGAATTTGCATCTGGAATTTTTTTTGTTTGTCTAAAGATTATATTTCTCCATTTGTATTTACACTGCAGAATAAAACCTCTGGAGGAGCATTCCACATCAACCTGATGCAATCAAGTGTACTGCAGAGAAGCAGTGGGGTGTAGTGGAAAGCATGTGGGCTTTGGAATCAAAGAGACTTGGACTGCTGTGCTTTGAAATGTTGTGTTCCACAAAGATATGCACAAAAGTACTCTTAAGTTTTATTTAGCCAAAAGATCAAAACATCCTGGATGTCCATCAGTAGGAAAACAGATACATAAATTGTGGTACATTTACCCATGGGACAATAGTCAGCAATAAACAGAATGAACTGCTAATACATACAAAAACAGGTGAATCTCAAAACTAGACTCAGTGATAGAAGCTGTACACAGAGTACAGACTCTAGGGCTCCACTCTCTAAGCAGGTGTCCTCAAACTACGGCCCACGGGCCACGTGGCTCACTGAGGACATTTATCCAGCCCACTGGGTGTTTTTGCCGCCACTGCCTGTCCTGCTTAGCAGCTGATTCATGTCTGGCCCTCCAATGGTCTGAGGGACAGTGAACTGGCCCCCTGTTTAAAAAGTTTGAGGACCCCTGCTAAAAAGACTTAGAACAACAAAGTAATCTATCTGGGAAAATACCAGAACATTGGTTTCTTCTGGAGGTTAGGGTGGGAAGTTAGAAGAGAAATTTACTCAGAAGGAACTTTTGGGGGTGATGGTTATGTACAGTAACATAGGGGTTTGGTCTGTCCATGCGTATGAATTTTTCTGTACACATCTAATGGTACCTTTAGAATTTGTGGACTGTAAAATCTGCCTCCAAGGGAAAAAAAAAAGAACCTAAACAGGTATTGAACTGTAGTCAATGATATGTATGCTGGAGTATTTCAACTTACTTAGAGAAATACATAACAACTAACGCAGATCAGTGGATGGATAGAGGGACTGGGGTATAGACAGATGAACAGACAAGCATCATGAAATGTTGATTGTGGAATCTAGGTTTTTCTGTGTGATTCAAAATTTTCATAATACAATATTGGAAATGATCTGGGATAGGTTGCACAAACTTCTTGGTTTCCATTTCTGCAAAATGAAGGCAATAGTATTTACTTTAGAAAGTTGTGAGTTTTGAAGAAAAATTGCCATGAAAATCAGCCTGTTTTAAGGCAGATGTTCCCCTGCCTTGGGGTGCTGGTCATCTTCCCTTTCATCCCCTCTTCCTGCTTTGTTAGTTTATAAGCCATGACTGGCAGCATTGCCTATGAGCGGTGGTCTAACATGGTACGTAGCGAAATTATTTGTGTTATGAAGAATGGACTATCTGTTGTCTGCCGAAGATACATTCCTTGAGTGGAGGAACAGTTAACAATAATGGTAGTGGCTCCAACTTCAAGGGGAAAGGACAGTTTGTCATGATATTTGCTTTAAAGGGATTCACAGAAAGCCCAGGAAGGACAGAATATTATAGGCCATCAAAAAATCACAGGGGTTTTTGATATTGAAAAATGAAATAATTATTTAGCTCAGTAAAAGGTTAACATATGAGGCCTCGTTTATTTCACAAATATCGTCTACTGCATTTCTGGTATTGTGCTCTGGAGCATGGACAGATATGCCAGACAGACATAGGAGCGAGCCCTCTTGGAGTGTATGTTCCAGTAAGGCCAAAGTTTATTGGATTTATAGGGCTGAGTCTGTTATCCAGAAAATATTTACCGAGTATTAACTTGGAATCTCATAGTAATCCAAATAAACAGGGTCCACATTCTCGCCGGCCTTATAATCTATCAGAAAAGGCAGATTTAATCACATGACTGCATGTAATTAGAGTAAATATATTCTAAGTGTGCAAAACACTGGGAAGGATAAGTACAGGGTTCTCACTGCAACTGGGACAGACGGAATATCCCCCACTAGCTGGGTGAAAAGAATTTCCCCTGCCCTAAACTTTTCTCTGAGTTGAGAGAATGCAGTGAACACAGGCAGAGCTTGAGATAGCCAGTGGCCCATGTCAGGTCAACAATGGAACAAACAGCAGAATCAGGTGGCAGGGGGCAAAGTGGCCAGTCGCATTGTTTGCTTATTGTTTTTGACTTCTGGTTGGTTTACTATGCCTATGGAACTCTGGCCATTCAGCCACAGAAAGCAGAGTGAGAAGTGTTGAATTGCTTTTAACCACAGCAAAGCATTCTGGAATCAGGTTTGCCTTCTGCCTAGTCAAATGCTATCACAATCATCCTAACACTCCCATGGTGTCAACAAGCTGCTAGAGACACGGATCCCAGGATCACAGAACCAAGCAGCTGACCCACTGCAAGAACATTTGTCCCATTGGTTCTAAGCAGAGAGAAGACAGAAGCCAAGAGAGTATGGAGAACTGATGAGAAATATGTGTGTTTCACGAATCAAAACTACTGCTTCTACAATCATAACGCACCCTGGGAAGAAATAAAATCAGTTTCCTAAATCATTATTGCATCTGACATTCTTTAGGGGGACAGACTCATCTGTGGGATTCTGAACTTCTCACCTTCTTAATCAGAAGGGGGCTGACTTGGTGCCTGTGGCTCAAGTGGCTAAGGCTCCAGCCACATACACCTAAGGTGGTGGGTTCGAATCCAGCCTGGGCCCGCCAAACAACAATGATAGCTGCAACCAAAAAAAATAGCCAGGCGTTGTGGTAGGGGCCTGTGGTCCCAGCTACTTGGGAGGCTGAGGCAGGAGACTCGCTTGAGCCCAGGAGTTGGAGGTTGCTGTGAGCTGTGATACCACAGCACTCTACCTAGGGGGACAGCTTGAGGCTCTGTCTCAAAAAAAAAAAAAAAACAGAAAAAGGGGCTGAGCTATGCTTGGAGGAATTCCATTTTCCAGCACTATCAGCAGACATACAGCAGGTGCATAATAAATACTAGTGAATTATTATAGGGTTGTTTCCATTTGCTACCAAATTTCCTGGAGAGTAAGAAAAATATAGAAATACCCAATGATGAGGAAATATACAAATGATATGTTAATTTAGAGCTTTGTTATAATCCTGTCAAAATACTGAAAGTGAGCAGAGAAGGTTCAGCTTCTGCCTATACGAGCACAAATTCCCTTCACTGTTCAGAGGAATAACTAGAGCTAAAAGCCATATTTCACGGCATATTCTCAGGTCAGAAAAGGCTGACAGTCAAAGAAGCTCAGAAAATCAGAACAGGCAGGGAAGTTAGGACACAGAAGAACTCTGCCATTAGTCCTGGCTTCCTAATCCCAGGTCCATCACTGACTAGCTGTGAGACTTCAGGCAATTTGCCCAGCCTCCATTTCCTCTTCTGGAAAATTGGTACCTGCCTCATAAGTTCTTTCACAAGAATCATTTGAGTTAATGCCCTGAGCACCATTTCTGACACATAATACGCGCTCCATAAACGTTAATTGTTACTGAGTGATTTTCTAAGATGATCTCAATTTCCTCGACAAGGTTTTTCATTAAATATAATTTGCTAAATATATAACCGAAAGTAAAATGTTGTAATGCTGTAAGACATTGCATAAATATATTTAAAAATCAGGGGAAAACCCCTCCCTTTGATGTGTGATTCTATATGACCACAGCAACCCTATGATGGCCACGCAGTCTGGTCTCTGTATCGGGTGTAGCCTCCTCCCTCCTCCAAACATGCAACCTGACGGAAGATTCAGCGTTACCAGTTCTCTTAAAGACAACCATTCCTTGCAAAATGGATCACTTTGCCATAATCTACACATTGTGATTTTGTATATTCCCCATCTCAGGACTTGGAGAGAGAGTTGTAGCAGGTATTTACTTAGATCAAAATTAGGGTGAAACAAGAAAGATATTTTATGCTTTTGTAAGCTGGTAAATGCTATGACTCTTGGAATAACATGTCTTGGCAGAAATCGTTGCTCTCTCTTCAAGATTAACTGATAACTGTCTGTGAGTATTCCATCTCCACTCACAGCTTCCATTGAAATCTGCGTATTTCTTTTCTCTGCCTCTTGTCAAAGGTGCAGGAATACAAGATCTACCCTTCGCTAACAGCCAAACGCTACTTCTGAGCTCCCGTTCCCAAGTCTTTTAACCCCTTGCTCTCCAACTCCGCATCTAAAGGCAAAAACAATCCTCCGACACACGGCCCTCCCCCTGGCTGTGATAGGCTGCTGGGAATAGCAACAGCCTGTGTCACCGAAAAGGGCAAAGCCTTCGGAAATAGAAACAAAGTTGGTCACAAATCACATTGGCTTTGCCCGAAGTTTTTCCCCCACTCTTCTCTAAAATGCTGTCATGGGGAAAGTGACCGCTCTTGTCGACGGGGGAGGTCGGGGTGATTTGCTGAAGAGGTAGAAGCTGTAACTTCTACGTGACCATGGTACCTGTTGAAAATACCGAGGGCCCCAATCTGCTGAACCAGAAGGGGACAGCGGAGGGGGAGAAGGGCATCTACCCAGCCAGCGACCGCCGGCATCCTCCCTGCGCAAGAGGTAAAGTGAGATCGCGGGGCTCGAGTGACCCACTAGGGGAGCACGCTGTACTCGTGTCTCCGTCGGGGTGCGTGTGTGTGTGTGTGTGTGTGTGTGTGCCCGCGCGCGTGCGCATGTGAGCGCTCTGGATGCGTGCACAGAAGGGGACAGCGTCTGGTAGGACGTGGAGTGCCTCAGAGCTGTAGTATTGTGAAGATTGGCGTCTTACTGGGACCTTCTGTGCTAAGAAATGTGAGCTGCATACCCACCACTGGTATGATGGGTCCTGTCCATTTAAGTGTTTACATAATGCAGTGTATGAATCTTTTTCATTTTGGAAAGGTTGACCAAGATTTTAAACACAGGCACACGAGCACACACACACACATTTTTATTTATTGTCACTAACAGATAATATGCAGCAAGTAGACTTTGTAACGACTGTTCTTTTAAATCAATACTTTGAGTGGGCTTCATAAAATTATTAGTTATGTAATCAATGGACACAACTTCCTTTTGAAATTCCCAGCACGTTTGTAATGAATTTGAGTGTTATTCAGAGCCTGAAACGCCTGCCTCACTGGCTCCTGCTTTCTTTAAAACAGGCCTTTGAAACTGAGGTTTATTGAATACTTTTTCCTTCCGGACGTGCAATTTGGAAAAGTTTTCATTCATTTCAGTTATCTTTGCTAAGTCAAAGGCTTGTCTACAGTTCCTGAAAACACACTGCAGGAGTTTTGCTGCTTCTTCCTGTTCATTTAGCTTGTTCTCAAAGGAATAGAAACTAAGGGGTATGAAAGGGCATGAAACACAAGTAGTCCCCTCCTTCCTATGCCTGTCCTCAGCGCTGCTCCTCCTAACCAGGCGCTACATTCCCAAGCCTAATACTGGAATTTCACGAGAAACCTAACACAACATCTTGCAAAGGCTTTGACCTTCCCCCTGGAACTGACCTTGCAACGAACCCACGACCACTCACACCAGGGCACGGAGCAGACCCTTCTCAGAAGGAGAAATGACCTCTACCTTCTCTGTCTTGCACCAGACTTCTCTTGCCTTATCAGCAAGAATGACTATCTGGGGCCATCTTTCAATATGGCCGGCCCTATTTCACGCAGAACTGCCCATATCCCTAAGGGCTCGCCTCCTTGCTGGCTCACCTGTTCTTTATCAGCAGGCAAGGGAAACTTGTATTTGGGATAAAGGGGAAAAATCTGGGAAGTTCTTCTTTCCCAATTGCTGGGAAAGTGACCGGCATGGTAGATTGTAAAGCAAACTGAGATGGGGACGACAACAGAAGAGTTAACTAACTAGACACTGTGATAATGTCACAAAGAAGGTGAAACTATCCAGGAAGGGCCTTTGCAGTAACCATTGGAAATTGATGATTACATTTTGATATGGCCCCCCCCAAACACGAAACACTCTTAATAGCTTATACTGCACAAGGTCACAATTATCCTGAAGGACGGCAAGGTGTACTAGTGTGTGTTTACAAAAGTTGAAGACATGCACAAAATGCAACTTCAAGTGCCACTGTTTATGTCATTGTAAAGACATGAGAAATGAATAAGTAACATAAATTATTTTTCAAATTTAATTTTGAACAAATCTTTATTATTATATAGAAGAGGAAGCCTAAATGTTTCCCGAGCAGCTCAGAGAATAACTTTGATTTGTGCTACATATAGTGTGCATTTAAATGAAAGCAAGCCTTTTATTATTACTTTCATAAATTTGTCTAACTTGTTTTAAATATCCCTTGGCATCCAAAAGCAATTATACATATCTATGTATAAATGCAAGCATAATGTAGATTGCTTGGTTTTGACAAGTACTTAAGCTCCCCATTCATTAATATTGGCGTTGTATTTTAGAATGGTCTAGGAAGATGTTGAGGTTTAATAAAATATTTGTTAAATGTTCCTTTTGGCTTTTTTATACTTTAAACTACCATAGTTGTATTCATCCAGGAAATTCCGAGTATTTAAAATAATGCTCAATAGTTATCACAATATTTCTGCATTTGAAGGTAGCAAGCTTTTTTCTATATTCTTAGATGGAAAAGTCAAAATACAAAGAGGAATGAGTTATGTAACCCAGGACAAGTTAATTAAATCATGTGAGATACTGAAAAACAAAACAAAACAAAACCCCTAAGCTCCATGATTGAACTCCCTTAATGCTATTGTGCACAATGAAAATTTTTGGCAGGTCTTTCTTGGCTAACCCCTCTTTAACTGAAAAGAATCTTTTATTCCAACCGCTAGAAGCTAATGAACTTAATTCATTTTCTATAAGCTATGACTCAAAGTGAGTACATTTTTAGTAAATTTTTTAAGTGTTCATGGATACGTTCTAATTGACCTTATAGGGCAGGGTTGAACTCAATTGGAAATCCTGGTGCCTAGAGCTGATAACAGATGTAGGTGAAATAAGAAGCTAGACTGGGGGAGTATCTCACACAGGGGAACTTGAGTTCAGAAAATGTATGGCTGGCCCAAGTTCACAGGGAAGCAAGTATAGAACTGATCTCAGAGGCCTGATGCTTGCTTCTTTATTCTCAGCTCCTTGGCTTTTTTATTTCATGAACTGAACGATTAATTTTCTAGGGAGAGAGTTCTCTTCCATCTCCCTTTCCTCCCAACCAGCATTGCTTTTTCCTCTCCCATTTGCCAAAAAGGTCAGAAACCAAGAACAATATTGACCGTGTGTGTGTAGACTCTCAGCCCTGCAAACAATGGCCTGGGACCCAGAATGTGAAGAACAGACTCAGACCCAGCCAAGAGGACTGTACTTCATGCCCCCTGAGGATGCCACGGTCTGGGATTTAAGAGATACATTCTTCTGCTAGTAAGATGAACCCTCTATGGCAGTTATTGTGAAACATTGTTAAAGCTGTGAGCTCCTTTTTACAGCCAGAAGCTGAGCAGGTGCTTACTATGTAAGTCTTCAGTATACTTCTATTGACTGTCATTCTCCCAGGCTGAGCCTAATCTGGGCCCCTAGCTTTCAGTCAGGCCGGGCTTCCTCCAGCTTCCTTGAACAGCCTGAAGGGAAGTTTGCTTGGAAGGGAAAAGGAGGAGAATTGTGGGAACAAACTAATCTCCAGGGAAGAGAAAGTCAGGCAACCAGCTTGGCCCGAGGACAGAGCTTTGGCTGTGAGAAGAGAGATTCTAACAACAGGCCAGCTACCTTGTGCAGGCCCAGGCCCAGGCCCAGGCCCAGGGCCAGGGCCTCCTATTTTGGGAGCTAGGCCATTTCCACTCTTCCACACTTTTTGTTTGTTAAAAAATCAAGTGTCAAAACTTGTGATGCTTGTGCTTTAAAATCACATGTATTTAACAAATTGAGGGCAGATAGCAATAGCTACAAGTTATTATGTTATAGCAAGTATTCCCAAGGAAGTGATAGGATTTATAGACATTTTAATTTATGAAGGACGTGGGCTCTTTTGTCTAGTCATAGGCCAAATTTAAAGATAAACATCTCCCCTTTCAGTCTAGTCAACGTCTCTCTATGGCTGTACATTTAAACTCGCTTAGAAATCACATCAAAAGTCTACATTTGGGGCTTCCCGGATTACAAATGGCTCCTCTGGGATCTGTCAAGAAGCAAGAAGGTTCTCCAGGGGCGGCCAACCTGCAGCCTGTGGCAGGCTGGTTATTTGGGGATTGTTTGGCTTATTCGTGGTATGCACAGACTTTTTTTTTTTTTTTTTTTGGCTCATCAGCTTTTGTTAGTGCTTTTGTATTTAATGCATGGCCCAAGGCAACTATTATTCTTCCAATTTGAGGCACAGAGAAAAAAAAACATGCAATAAACATGGTGGGAACGGTGTCGCCATAAACTTTAGGTGTGCTGGTCACACACATAGCACTGCTCTTGTTCATCTCTAGGGACATGTCACCCAGAGAGGGCAAGGAGTTTACCACTTGGGACAGACTCTCTCCTGAGCATGGCAGCAACCACAAGCACACACAGGAGCCTGCCATGCTGAGGTCTGGATGAAGCCAGCTAGCCCTGGAGCGAGCCAAGCAGTGGGGCCCACCTGGGCAGGTTGAGATCAGCTGGCGTACACCAGCATGCCTGAACTGGTTCGCACAGCCATTCCAATAGGCCAGTGCCTCTGTCCCAGTTATTAAATAGTTTTGATATCGCCAGGTTGCCAGAAGTTGCTGAGGCAGCTGCCATCCCAGGAACATGCCTGGTGGCAGCAGATAGGACCCTAATGTGAGCCCACATGGCATAAAATTGTCTGTGTGTATAGATGTACTTTATTAAAATATATATACACTTTATTAAAAGGATTTGTTCCGTAAAACCTGGATTCAGTCAAAAGGCCACATGTGTCCCCAAGGCCACAGGTTCTCCACCCCTTGCATTTACCTTGTGAATTCTCAACAGGGAACTTTTCAGCAGTCTAGAGCTCACACCAGATGGTAGAAACAGAACCCACGGTATAGTGATTCTAAGGAAACTCAGATTGGCCCATGTATAGGAAAGATGAATCAGCCAATTTTAAAATCCAATTTTTAATCGCCAGATGCTTGGGAGATTTTGTTTTTCATTCAAGAATAGTTTGGTTTTGGATAATAGTTTCATAGACAGTATTATATCAAGGAAGAATTTGCGTGCGTACCTACCTTTTAACCTTGGGGTTAAAAAAGTTCTGAGAGGTCCCCGAGGCCCCCCATCAATGCACAATTAGCTTCTGGGTTTAAGAGTTGAAGCAGCTATTTACCCAGAGTGTATGAACAAGAACTGGTTTTTTAAGATTTTTAAGTTGAACAGACACATAGTTCCCTAGTTCCTTTTTTTTCTCATGACCAGTCTTCCCCATAAAGGTGAGTGATTGAACAAAATAACACAGTGAAACCCTCTTAAAAGACACCAAGTTATGGTGGTGAGAAAGGAAAAAGTTGGAATTGGCTTCTTCCCAAGAGGATCATTGACCAAATACCAAATGAAGATGATTTTTTATCCTTTCTCTTTTCAGAAGTACCAAGTCTCAGTTAAAG